CATGTGTATTCACCTTGGACATACATATCACAAATACATATTTGTCTTTTTTCTTTAAATTTCCTTGGACATACAAATACATCATTTTAATACCGGGCTACCTGGAGCCGGCCCCCATTAGCTTTTTTCAGGTAAACTACCCGCTATTGTTGGAATATGGCATCTTTTATGAGAAGAATAATATGGCATATTGACCAAATTGGACCGTTATGATATGGAATGATTTCTTGCAGGAGTGAACAATTTTTCGCTTGCCTCGACTAGACTTCTTTTAGGCTCTAGGCGAGGCATTTGGCTGTGGCCGCACCTAAGTGTGCTTAAGCGCAACCTAATTGTTTCCTCTCGAACAGAGAAATTAGTAGACAAATCTGCTTACGTAGGCGTTCGATCTTCTAGTTGGTGCGATGCTAAGCGATGTCAGTCGCTTTGCGTCCAGGATCGATCTCCCAAACGTGCATACGTTGTCAATCACATGGATGCATCATGGGTTGCGCGCAACAATAAGTCAATGACCATCTTTCGCAGCTTCGACCAATCACATCCTCCCGCGCATCCTATAAATTCCCTTGTGCAACGCAGGCATCCATCTTATCAAACTCACAACGAGCTCCCCACATGCATACTAGCGAACAGAGATAAGCCAATTAAGCTAGCACACGCAGGCCCCGGGTACGTAGCAATGTCGTGCATGGGAGCAGTCGCCACCGTGCTGATGGTGCTGTGCGCCGCCGTGTCCTCTGCGGCAGCGCAGCCGCGCCGCCCGCTGCCCCCGAACTCCCTCGTGATCCACCCTGGACGGTTCGGCAAGAGGGCTCAGACTCTCACCTGCGACTTCCACCCCTGCGTGGCCACCTGCCCTAAGCGCTGTCCCGAGGAGTGCTTTGTTGTCTGCTCCTCCTGCAAGACATACTGCTGTGAGACATCCCAATCTTTCCCTAGCCTCAAGCTATGCATGCCCTTTTCTTTAAATGATGGTAGATCGAGGACAATTCGGTCTTAGACCTCAACATCCATCTGAAGATGCACGACGTTTTAATTATTGCAATGATAATGCTCTAGACCGGTAGTGACGTTCTATTTTATGATGATACTAACGACAAAACCTTCTTGAAGTGTGTGACTTCTACCCTGGGTTTATCTGCGGCGACCCCCGCTTCACTGGCGCTGACGGCAATAACTTCTACTTCCACGGCACGAAGGACCAGGATTTCTGTGTCGTCTCTGATGCCGACCTCCATATCAACGCTCACTTCATCGGCAAACGCGACCCGTCCATGAGCCGCGACTTCACATGGATCCAGGCCGTAGGTGTCCGCTTCGCCGACCACCGCCTCTACGTGGGTGCCAAGAAGACCGCCAAGTGGAACAATGACGTCGATCGCCTCGAGTTGGCCTTTGACGGAGCACCGATTGACGTCACTGGTGACATCGGTGCACAGTGGCAGTCCACTGTTGTGCCCGGCCTGACCGTCACGAGGATCTCCATGACCAACAACGTTAGGGTTGAGCTTAAGGGTGTGTTCGACATCATGACTAAAGTGGTGCCCATCACGAAGGAGGACTCGCGTGTTCACAACTACGGTGCGACAGAGGATGATAGTCTCGCACATCTGGACATTGGGTTTAAGTTCTATGACCTGACTGGCGATGTTCACGGTGTTCTCGGCCAAACCTGCCGCCCCGACTATATAAACAAGTTTAACGTGAGTTCTAGCATGCCAGTGATGGGGGGTGTAGCAAGCTTTGTCTCATCCGACATCTTTGCCACCGACTGCAAGGTCGCTAGGTTTGGCCGTAATGCCAACATCTCCATGGTCACTGCCAGGGCCAACTAAACTATTTCTCAAGACTTTATCGGTTAATGTAATCGGCATAATGGTTGGCCTAGAAATAATACGTGAAAATTGTAAGGTTTAGCGTCATTTTGTGTGCAAAGCTGCTGGCCTTCTGGAAAAACAATGGAATTAACTATGACGTAACAAACTGAAATAATGGTGCTTCGCTGTGTTGTCTAGGTTTTATGTTAATGTGATGCCATGTGCAAATTGATCTTTACTTTTCGTTTGTCCTCCAACTCTAACTCTAGCACTTCCTCCGTATCATAATACACGTCTCTTTTATACCGACACAGTCTTCTAAACTTACCCTTGGCCATCAATTTTCACTATAGTAGACTTCTTGTCTAAAAGAGGTGGAGTCGATACCTATTTGCTATTCTGGTGAATTAGAAGTTGCGACAATTTTTTTTTGAAAGAAAAGGCAGGCCATTGTCTACCTTATGCATTCAAAACGGGCAGGGTGACCAAAGGTCAATTACATGAGGAAGTGTTTAATGGAAACCAAAAGCTCCCGGGAGAAAAACAACCAGAGAGGGAGATGGTCAAGATGGCAATATTCCCCGTGGGGACGGGTACCCGCAGGGATTTACCCATCATGGAGCGGGATGGGGGACAAATTCACCCCATGGGTATTGTCTGGTCAGTACCAGAAACCGCAATATTTTTGTGGGTTGGAAACCGACAGGAAAAGAGCCGAAGCCGACAGGAAAAGTATTTCCTGTTAGTCACCCGTCAGGGAAAGCCGACGGAGATAGCTTGACAGGGAAACTTGGTTTTGCGTGTCGGCGGACCGGCAGGAAACATTTCCTTGACGGGCACTCCTGACGGTGACCGACGGAGAAATATGATTTCGTCATGTATAGGGTAGCCAGGAGTATACGTTATTTCCCTGTCGGTCCGGACCGACAGGTAAATGCACAACATTTCGCTGTCAGTTCATTACCGACAGGAATACTCGTTACATTTCGCTGGAGCTCGTGCCCGACAGGAATTTGTACATGTCACAACCAGAATGAGTAGTCATGTCGGCCCAAAACCGCCAGCAATGGATCATGTAGCTTAATGATCCATTTAAATATGTATACTGCATCTATCAACACAAATTATACCATGATGATCCCTGTGTCAACCACAACCCAAGTACTACAAATTCTTCTTTAGAAACATCACCGCTGATGATGCCTTCTCTTGGATCTGGAAATCCAAATGCACGATGAAAATAAAAGTCTTCACTTGGCTACTACTAGCGGACAGAGTCAACACAAGAAATATGTTGAAAAGGAGACATTATAATGTGGGAGATAACGTCACCTGCTCATTATGTACCCGACAAGAGGAAGAAACGGTCGAGCATTTATTCTTCAGGTGTCCTTTCAGTCGTTGATGCTTGAGTACTCTAGGCATCACGTGGACGAATGATGGTAACAGACTTGCTCTTATCCATGAAGGGCGCCGTAGTTGGCAAACACACATGTTCATGGAAATCTTCATGTTGTCTGCGTGGAGCATTTGGAAGGAATGCAACGGCTTAATATTTCGGAGGGTACCACACACCCTTGCGTCATGGACGGAGCGTTTTAGGACTGACCTAGCCTTATTATGCCATAGGGTTAAACCCAACTTGGCCGACTTCATTTCTTTGTTCTTAGAGACTACTTTGTAATTTCCTTTTCCTTCTCTTTCTGGAACCAAAACCGGCCACCCCCATGTGGTGTGTGGTAGTTATGGCTCTAGGACTTCATGAGCTCTGGCTTATGACCCCTATGTAACATCTCACATCTGATTAATACATGTCAGTAGGATCCTCTCCTACTGTCTTTGATTGTTCAAAAAAACTGTAAATTGGAATGATAAGAGTTCAGCTTTGCACATCTAAGTTCATAACAGTTCTCGACAACAAAAGATAAATTGTTCAACTTGCAAGTTGCAAGGATAAGCTTCAGTGCATTACAAACAAAATACAACATAGTTCACAGAAGTAGATAACCTGCCTCTAGTGTCTATTGTAACTTCCAAAATGCTACTGTGTTACCAACACCACCATTAGTTCCAAAGTTGTGTTACCATGCTCTAAGTCAACAAAGGCACTGCCCAGGTTACTACCACACTAAGTCTCGCTTTCCAGGTTGTTGGAGCGAAGGTTAGTTGCACCAATAGCCATGTCGCTGATATTCCCATTGGAGTTGTCACCGCCAAAAGTTCCACCCAAATCACCATCACCTGTGTTGTCATCAAGCACTCGCGTTCCAATATGAGATGAATTAGTGCCCCCCTACATAATATTATTTATTTAGAAAAACCAGGAGAGTTTATGAAGCAAACCAGAAAAGGCTTCTCAATTAAAAGTTGTAGTAAACCATGAGGTAGAAAATATAAATGATAATAAAACCAAATGGCCTTTTGTGAGTAAACCATCAACGCATCCATTTTGGATAGATTGCCAACAACGTTAGTAGTAATTTTAACTAAGAGAGGATGGTCAGGATAAACAACAAACATCTACCACAAATCGTGTTTTGAACAGATTTGGCCAAGATCTTAAGTATGATAAATTTAACTAAGTGAGAGTGACCAAAAATTGAGATCCTAGAAAAATAGAATGAATCATGGTGTAAGTTCACTTAAGTTGGGACTACATGTGCATGCCGGAATCAAGATGCACTCACAAACATATGGCAGGAATCAAGATGTACTTACATGTGGTTGGAAACTTTCTCCTTGGCGTAGCTCCTCTGGTAGTTCTTTTCCCATCTCCTTAAAAAGGGCCTATGAACAAGTATGCAACATTAGAATATCTGGTTTGAACAATTAATCACAAACATGTACACAAATTTGCAAGTACCAAGAAAAGTCTTCCATGCATATCCACTATCTTTTGAAGGTTCTCATTACGTCGCTTCAGTTCTTCGTTTTCTTGAATAGTTCGCCGAAATGATGCTGAAGATAAGGGCCTCAGTTTCTTTTCTCTAGCTATTGAGATAACATCAGCCTTCTTAACTGTTCCATCCGCTATTGCTAGTCGCCCATGAGGAATGCCACCTGATGACTCATATAACATTTGCCCATCTAACTCTTGCTCCTCCCAATCATCAGGATGTGTGGCTCTAGCCAAATCACAGTAATCATCCTAGAACAATAGTAATTTTTACTTGTAAACATGCAAGGAGAACAAATAATTGGTGATAAGAAGACGAGCAAGAACATACGTGGTGTTTTTTGCCTTCCCGTTGAGGGTGGAACTGATGCCACCACTGCCATCCCAATTCTTTAATCCAGATTTCATTGCAGCATATGTATTCAGGGTGGTAGCCTTCTCAGGCCCATATTTCTGTGCCTACAAGACCAACTAAATGAAATACAAAATAACAAGAAACAATTTGCGAAAATATCATACAAGTGTGACATACCAGAATTTGTCGAGCCTCCACAAATGGCAGTGAACCTCCCCGATTTTGAGCAATATCTTCACTCTTGAAGCGAGATTCCTGCCCTCTCTTCCTTAAAGACTTGAACTCTTTTGAGCACCAATAAGCACAAAGATGAGGCCATGCATGTTCCTTAAACCATGGTATTCTGCCTTCCAGGTATTGATCATATTCAAGTTCTCTTGAACATGACAATGTGTCATCAAGCAGCTCTCCTTTCTTCTCATAGTAGAACTTCACAACATCCACACGAACTTGATATATCATGTCCCTCACTTTTTTCATTGCATAGTTGTCCAACACACGATCAGCATCATCATCCACCTTGTCCGGGTCTTCACCATCTTTCACAAAACCTCAAACAAGTTTACAAATTTTCATGTCAAATATGCACACTAGTAGAAAAGGGGGCATTGGTCCAGGCCGGGTCAGCCCATTAGTCCCGGTTCATTCCAGAACCGGGACCAATGGTGGCATTGGACCCGGTTCGTGAGCCCCGGGGGCCGGTCGGGCCACATGGGCCATTGGTCCCGGTTCGTCTGGACCTTTTGGTCCCAGTTGGTGGGACGGACCGGGACCAATGGGCCTCGCTCCTGGCCCACCACCGTTGGTCCCGGTTGGTGCCACGAACCGGGACCAAAGGCTGCCCTTTAGTCCCGGTTCATGCCACCAACCGGGACCAATTAGGTGCCTATATATACCCCCTAGCGTAAGAGCAGAGCACACTGCTCTGTTTTTTCTGGCCACCGAGGGGGAGAGGGCTTGGTGGTGCTCTAGCTCACCTCCTATGCACACAAGGTGTTCGATGGAATGCCCGAGCCACACTACTTAAGCTTTCTCCTCTCCAAGCTCCATTTTCCTCAATATTTGTCTAGGTTTAGCGGTCTGTCACGCCCTGTACCCATCTTCACCGCCGTTGATCACCCGCGCCGACCTCATCGCCGGCACCACCGTGGTGAGCCTCTTGTTCTTATCTTCTTTCTGAAAGGAAAAATATTCTTACTTGTAGGTTTAGATAGATACTTGTATTATTTTCTTACTTTTATTATTGCATCTTATATAGTGCGACGGTTTTGGTATCCGCCCCCGTCGGCCCTCGTCCTGTCTATGATTCGGATGTGGTATATATTATCTTTTCATAACTATTGGTTCATTTATTGTTTATGAAAATTATGCTGACCAACGTGACATAGATTTTATTTATCTAGGAGGTTGTTGAACCGGAAATTCTAACCGACCCTATTGTCGAGAGGTTAAATTTTGTTGAAGAAGAAAACAATTTCTTGAAGGAAAAAATAAGAAAAATTGAGGAGGAGAAGATGATATTGGAGTTGCATGTTGCGGATGTCGTCGATGATCACAAGATCAAGATGGATGCAATGCGCTTGAAGATTAGAAAGATTAGAAAATATGCCATTCATATCGAGGCTTTTGGTATCATTATACTGTTGGATCAGTTGTTACCTTGGTTGCGATTATGATCACATTTTTTTCGCATTGAAATGTTTTACATGGTTTCAATGTATGGTTTAATTAATTTAGATACTCTGCAGAGCTTTATGTTGTTCTGTA